TAAGCATCTTAATCAAATAATAGTAATAATATAATTATATAAAAATAATAATATTTGTAATAACATAATTTTATATTTTGTAAGTTTCTTATGTATTTTCTTAATCTTAATAACTGCTTAAAAGTTGTTATAGAGTATAAGAGTAAATAATTCCATCAGTCACAAAATGGCAACTTCAACTTATTCTTGTTTTATATCTGACACGAACATTTGGCACATAAGTAGTACTGCGTATATGTGTTCTCTTAAAATACTTATTTTCAAATTTACGATGTGAAAATAAAAAATACGAAAACGTATTCTTATATTTTTACATATCGATATCTTATAATATAAATCCAAAACGAATTGTGTCATTCGGTTCTAAAAATGATTTCAAATATGTGAAATAATTAAGATGTTTAGATATAGATCAAAGAAGTGAGTAAGATAATGCAATGCAATGAAGTGCAATGCATAATATAATTAATAATCACTTTTAATCATACTGTTCATTTTTCGCTCAAGAGAATACATAGATATACATATACATACATATATATATATATATATATATATATATAATGTATGTATATGTATAGATATCTTTATCTATAAATATGCATGTATATATAAAATTTTGTGTACATTTTTTTTTCACACATCTTACTTTGTATTGGCTCGTGTCTTAAGGGCGAGGACTCGAACGACGCTAAGAGTCGCTGGATTAGGAGGGGTAAGAGAGGTAAGATTGGGTCAGTTGGTATTTTGTTTGTTGGAGCGAAGGCGAGCCAAGCCTGAACGCTCACCCTCTTCTTCATCTGATGTACAAGGTGGTGCACCACTGACTGCACCACGTGATGATGTTGCTTGCATTAATTCTTGATCTGGACCATTTCGATGCTCATATAACAAAATATTTAATGTTTCTTCATAAATTCTGGCTTCTGGAAACTCAACCTATGTATTATAAATCAAGTTCTTATTTCTCTTATTTGTATTATAAATGAATTATATTACATATTATATATATTTATAATAATAATAGATAAATATACAATCAAATATATTTTATATATGTTTGATATTACCTTTGTGTGTTTTTTATCAGTTGTATAAACAATGGAGTGGCAACAAACTTCTGCAACTTTGCGACCATGACCATAAAATGTCCAACAACAAATTTCACTGGAGCCAATTACATCTTTAATAAATAATACTCTACGACCAAATCTAAGGGACATTTTGTCGAACAATTCTATGTTTTTCAAGAGATTGTCATCTGATGTACTATAAAAGACAAGGCTTATTATATTTATTCATTCTTTGTTTCATTGCAGTTTTATGAAACAAATATTATCACCTTGTATATGAATACTTGTTATTATGTCTATTAACAAGCAACTTCACTACTGGTTTAGTAGTACTACTAATTAATAATTGTTCTTCTTTCTGAGAAGTAATAAGTGGAATTCTACAAATAGGTTCTGCTTCTCTTTCTTTTCGAAGAAGTGCTTGTTCACAAGATTCAGCTAGCTCGGTAATGCAATAATATTTTGCTTCTGCAAGCAATTCTGCCATTTCTCTCGTACTTTCTGGTAATGGAACTGATCCGTCTCTTAGAAAATTTAAGATTGTTCCAAAATGTTTTCCACACCTATCTATTAATATCCACCCTATAAAATATATTTACGTATTTATCTTAAATAAATAAAAAAATAATTATATTTCTTTCGATTCGATATAAACATACATAAATAAAAAAATAAATAAGTTTTTTCAAATTTCATATATTCTTATAATGTTATATGTTTTATTAAACATAATAAAATCAAATAAAATATCACACCTTCGGGATCTGTAAGAATTTCCATGCGACCACTAAACATAGCTCGTAACATAGTATCATGTTTTTGGAGTGTCCCTAAAGTAGTATAGTGTAAGGAACCGCCGATATTGAGCTTGACATATTCCGAAGGATATTTAATTCCCGCTTTATGATTTCCAGACATTACGAACAATGACAATATATCAGATCGTCAAATATCAATGTTAATAAATAATCAGATGAGAAAGTATAACGATTTTTAAATGTTAAATATAAAATTTAATAGAGAAAGAACAAAGCGTTGTGTCTTGAGCGCCAACACAACGATAAACGATAACCAATAGAAAGATATTTTATGTGATATTTATTAATCTCATTTTAAATATTAAAATCTTATTAAATAACACGATTTTTCCACTACTTTTTTGTGTCTTACGACTCGGCAAAAAAAATATAGCCTATCGTATTCCCATTTTGGCGAGTGACTAGTACAAAGAAACGAAGACTAGTTCTAGATACGCGCAAGCGCAACTACCAGTTAATCGTTTGTTTATTTAAGAAAATGGCTGACCCTTTAGCAAAGTATGGAATTTATATCGATGATTTAAGTAAGATTCGTGTATTAGAACCAGAAGTTGCAAATCAGACAAATAAGCTTAAAGAAGAATGTAAAAATTTCATTTCGAGTAAGTTTTAAGTTACAAATTATTATAATTACACAAGCTAATATATATTTGTTAACATTTTTGACATATACAATTTGAATAAGAAAATATTTTTATGAATATTTTTGTCAATTGACTTACCTCGTTATTTTTTATTTTTTGTAATTGCTAAGTATATTTTCAATACAAAACAAATGCTTCTATCTACACTTACATCCTTCTTTATAGTAATTGCTGCCATCTATATTGCCGCCTTGATCAGTACTTCAAATCATAATAAATAAAAAAATATATATTATTAAAATATTGAATTAAAATATATTTATTTATTTTCCCATCATACGAATATATTTTTTTAAAATAACTTATTGTTAAAAATCATCTTATTAAATTATTTCTAATAATTATTTCTAATAATTTATATTATTAATAAAAATAGTTTAATTTATAATTAAATTTAGTACATATTATTTTTACTCATTTGAATTTTTATGTATATATTTTTATTTATTAGTTATAGTACAAAATGATTTGTCTTTTTTAAATATTTACTTATATATGAAAATAAATTTCAAATGATTTAGATTCGTTTTATATTTCATTCGATATTTATTGTATCTTTTATTTCCTAGAAATTACTGAATTTCAAACCAATTCCGATGAATTTATAGAAATAATAGATCAAATAGCAAATGAGGTGGAAAAAGAAAAAATGAAAACTATTGGAACCCGAAACTTGCTTCGATCTATTGAAAAAGAAAGGGATGCTCAAAAACAACAAATTCAGGTTGTTTCAAAATTAAAATATTTTACTGAATATTAGTTATTTTTGATAATGATTGATGAATCAAAAAATCAATTATTTTAATTTCTTATAAGATTATATAAAAATGTATACTATTGATAGATATATTCAATAAATTAATTTAAAATAATTTAAACATTTATATATATTAATTGCAGGCACAGATAGTTGAAAAATCTATGGAACTTGAGAGACTTCGTATACAATACGATTCTCTAAAAAAAATCGAAATGGAACAATTAGAAACTATTGAACAATTAACAGTGAATTAAAAACTTGAAAAGCTGAAATTAATATATCTATTTTTATTAAATATATTTTGAATGTTTGTACTTTTCTTTAGAAAATAAATTGATCATAAAATAAGGAAAATAAATAAAACTATTAAATATGATTAGAGTGACATATATTATGAAACAAAATATTTATACATAAGTTTATGACGAAGTTTGTAATTAAGACGGTGTCGGAGTTTAAACCTTTCTTAATAAGACGGCATCAAATGTACACACATATCGTAAAGGTTCTGAACCCCTGAATCAGAAAGGCACATTAGTTAATTCTGAATCATTCTATGTATGTTTCTAATATTAATATACTAATAATCATTTTGATAATAGTATTATTTTTTCTTTTTCATAAAAATTGCGCGATTGCTTTTCTTTTATAATTATAAACAATATTGTTATATAATTACTATCTACTAACAGCCGCAATTACACGTGAGCATACGGTTGCAGAAGATAAATAACAATATAAAACTTGAAGCAATCTTAAGATATCGCAGGTGATCAATTAATTATATTAATTATTTATCTAACATCTATATTATTTTATCGAATATAAACTTTATATGTTTTACGAATAGACAGTCGTTGTCCTTATTATATTGGTGAAATAGTGATATAATGAAAATGACTTGAAGATAAAAAAAATTTATCAAGTTGCTAGAGCTTAATTATTAAAAATTTTTCTTACTTATATATTCTAATTATATAGAAAAAGAATTTCATTAATTATATAAAATGAAAAACGATATAAGCATATAATATAGGTACAATAATTTGATTAAAATAAAGCATGTATTTCTTAAAAACATATAAATAATTTAAATATTTTTTTTCACCCTTACTTTTTACATATTTCTTACGATAAATTAATTTTTTTTAATTTTAATACATATCTTATTAGTTTTCAAAATGTTTGTATGTTTAAATATATTTAAATTTAATCTATTTTATTGTTCTTTTTTAAAATATTATTTTTATGTTGTCATAAATTTACAGAATATCTCATGCTGTAAGATATTTAAAAAAAATGTTAAATATTTTAAGTAGATAGTATTCTGTAACATAGTACATACTCTTTTAACAATATTTTTAGTACAAGATCACAAATTAGCAATGCGTAATACGCAACTGTCTTCATTACACAATACAGTTTACACATTTTAAGACTACTCGCACACCCATCCATTCAACCACTATACCCAGGGATTCAAAAATAAAGTTTATTTCGTAAAAATAAGAAATGGTATCGTGTTGAATTACAAATATAAATCCTATAATCTAAATTTATAAATATGTACAATTACATATCTACTATGGATGTTATCTAAAAACTCAAAGAGTATATTTTATAGACATTAATGGAGCAAATAGGATGATTAAATACAACAAACATAATTAAATTTTGTTTGATAAAAAAATAAAATAACGAAAATATTTAAAATCAAAATGTCAAAAGTCATTTGAAAAATTTGAAAAGAACTTCAAAAATTTATTTTTAATCTAATCGTTATGATATCTTATGTTATTTATATAAAATCTTATAAGATTTCGATTTAATAAATAATTTCAGATTGATTTTATTTATACTTATCATCTATCTTATCGTTATTGTAGAAAGTATTTATGAAGTGAAATATCTATTATTTCATTAATATATAATACAGAATCGTTCATATGACTGTTTATATCTTTTTGTACATAACATTATTAAAATGTTAGACTATATATCAATAGCACACTATTGATATATATATCGATAGTATACTATCAAATAATAATAGTGTAGTTTTGAAAATAATTGATTTTGAAAAAAAAAATAAAACCATAGTTTTTATATTAAATAAAGTTTCTAATATTGAAATATTAGTAGCAAAGTATCATCCTCATATGCTCCAATTTATCAGTCTGCCTCCAATAGCCAGCTATAATATACTTTACATGATATTTAAAGTAACTGGTATCGATCACCATTGAGTATCCGCTCAAAATTCCCAGTTTTTTTTTTTCTTTTTTTTTTTTTTATAGAATTACATAATTTTACATAAATTCACATTCACTCATCTGTCTCCAAAGATTATAACAGTTTATAATATTTAACACATTTCTCATATAGTTGCTTCAGTTTTAAGTCGTTTACAAGATTTCATTGTGTCATCCTGTATAATACAATCATTATTTTCTTCTGTCGATATAGATGGCGATAGTGATCTTTTAACAGTACATACGTCAGTAATAGTGCTATTCATTACAGCATTAGTCGATGAATTAAATTGTACTATTACAGCTGTCATATTGTCGCATCCTGTACCATCTCCACAGGTATCAGGTGCAAGACAATGGTCAAATAGCTATAATGTAATAATTTTGTTAATAAGTAATATTTATTTTAAATCAAAATAAGGAAAAAAGTAATTGTAAATAAAATATATATTTTGTACCTCTTCACAGATTTTTGATAATTTTTCATAATTTTGAGTTAAACGAGCACGAATAAATTGTACAACATCTTGACTTGACATGAAATTCCAAATACCATCACAAGCAAGCACCATAAACTCATCTCTTTCTGGTTCAATTGTAATATGCCTTACATCAGGAAGAGCAGAAATCATTTGCTCTTGTGGTGGCAAGTCTGCATTTTGTTTGTAAGCATGGTCCCCAAGTGCTCTTGATAAATTAAGGCCACCATTTACTCTACCATCAGCTGTAACTTTTCCACCAGCTTTTACTATACGTTCCATTTCTGGTTCATCTTCAGGTTTATGATCTAAACTAAGTTCAATAGCTTGACCATCTCTACATAAAACACAACGAGAGTCTCCAGCATTTGCCACATATAATTCATTGTCCTTTAAAATTGCAACTACTGCAGTGCATCCACTATCATAACCTGGCTGTATAAATGAATTATTTATATTTATTTTAAATGTTTATAATTACCATAACATAATATTTTAAGCTTAAATAAAATATATTTTGGAAAAAATTTTAATACCTCTTCTGTATCCATCATAAGACTTTCACTATCATCATCATCATCATCATCATCAATATTACCATCTCCATCTTCATCTTCTTCATCTTCATCTTCATCACTTTCATCTTCATCGATATCTTCTATGTCATCTTCGTCACTAAAACTTTATAATAGGAAATGTGTAATAAAAAGATTATATGAATAATTAAAATTTGGATGATTAAAATATAAAAATAAGAATATTTTTATTTTTTAATTATTTTAAATAAAATTATTTCTACCTTTCTGGAATACCATCAAATGTTTCATCATTTTCATCATCATCATCATCTTCAGAAACTTCACTGTCTTTTTTTAAGAGAGTATGATATAATGTAACAGGTTGAATTCTTCTTCTACCAGTACTAGTTATCCGTTCTTGTTGTCCTGCATCTCCATTTTCTATAGGGATACATGAACTACTTGAAACATTATCTCCTCCACCCTTACTACTATCTGCATCTCCAATTTGCTTTGATTCTGCACCATTTATTTCTACTTCATTTGCATTTGATTCTATAGATGTAATTTTACCAGGACTTGTTACTTCCTTGTTTACATCTTCAGAACTATCTGGCATATCTGCACTTTTTGTTGTTTCTACATCTGCTGTAGATTCTACAGGTGTAGATGCATGTGCATTTCCATTACTGGTAGTTGAATCAAGAACTTGTTCAGCTTCATTGTTTCCAGGACACTCTGATTCTTTTCTTTCCATTGTACTAGATAAAGTTGATCCACATGGTTGACTGGAACTACTCACATCAGTTTCATTTGTATTCCACGAAGATGAAGATGATGAACATCCTGCACCAGATGATGAAGAACTTGCTTTTTCTTTACCTCTTCGACCACGTAGATAAGGACTTGCAGAACATACTCGTTTATTACATTTTTCATTTTTTACATTAGGATTTGATTCTGATTGATATTTTGCTATTACTTCTTCCAATGGCATTGTTGCCTCCATACATAGATTATTAACATTTTCTTCTTCATCTATGTGCAATGTAACGTATGAAGACAACTTTATTAAATATATTTTTGTACAAAGAAATAGATGGAACAAACTAATAATTATGAAATATGATAATTAATAGTTTAATTTAGATTAATATAATTTGTATAAGAATATATTTTAATATGAAAAGAAACGCACCAGATTCATTTAATTCTTCTTTTTTCTTATCTGAAGTAGATGTTCCTGCGAGTTCTTTGAGAATACTAACTACTTCAGATTTTTCAAGTGTAGCATCAAAGCCTAGAAAGGCATCAATTAAAGCTTGTCTTATATCTCCCTTTTTATATGCATCAGTTTGTTTAATAAAATCTGGTAAATTATTTGCACAATAAGTTGCTACTTCATGACCACCATGGCCATCATATACAGCAAATAATGAAATATTTTCATCAAAATCTATGCAACAATTATGTGCATCCTATAAACAAATAATTATATTTTATATTATATTTTATATAGATATATTCCAATTAATTTTAATTTTATATAATTAAAAACATTTAAAAAAAATTGTTAAATATACTTAATAATTCTTTAAAAGATTAATTTCAAATATTTCATATGACATATTTAATATTTTAATCAATTAAAATGAATATATAAATATGAAAATTATTAGATATGTATGTTGCATAAATAAAATTATTTTTTTTATATTATTATCACATATATATATATAAATATTTCAATTATCAATGAATAGATATTTTCAATAGTCAGAATATATTAAAAAATTATATATAAACAAATCACATTATTTTACAAAAGAAATCTTTGACAAAATTTTAAATTTATCAAATTGTTATTTAATGTTGTTATTTAGAAAATAACTATTAATAAATTATTTTAAAATATGTAAATATTATTAGAATATTTTTTAGAGTATAAGTTTAATAGTTATGAAATATTAGATAATAGAATAATAGAAATATAAAGTTTTAGGTTTTTACATTAGTAACAATAATAAGTTATTAAATTATATAGAGAATAGAAGTCTTCATAAACTGAAAAACTTTCATTTCAGAAGTAACTTCAAACTATGACAATGAATATTTTTAATTTTGTAATAGTACTGTTTTGTTCATAAGCGAAACGTCGGTGCACTGTTGTTTCTATAAGCACGATATTTGTCGTTCTCGAATCGAATAGACTGAATTTCGCGCTTCGACACATAGATGGATTACGTTACGATAAATTAGAATGAATGTCGTAATACTTTAGCGAAACAGAGAACCGGCAAACAGTTCTCTTATCGAAACGAAACTGGGTAACGGTGCACTGGCCGCTCGAGAGTTTTAGCTTACCTCTTGACTAATTCGCCAGCCTTGCATGGAACTCGCGCCGAATGCGACATTCTTGCCCACTTCATCGCTCGACACTTTCTTTGTAATCGGTTCTGACAAATATGCACCCATTTTCGTTTAAACCGGCAATCTTTCAGTCGATTCTCTAGCGTCCGCGTAAATAACACAATATCTTGGTGAAATTACTATTCACAAGCGCGGCGCACAGTCGTTAACTAGCCTCCATGACCGGTTTGGGTTTCTGTTTTCACTGCGCTGCCAGCTCCACCTAGTCCGCCACTTTTCTTACATGCGCACTTTGTTTTCGCGCCAAACTTTTGACGATTTTTAGTTACTACAGAATGGCGTTCTGTGTTATTTTGCAGAAGCATATGCTTTTGATCATGACAAGACTTATTTTCAATTATGAAATATGATAAATAATATATATATTTAATTTATCATTTATTTTATTAGAAATAAATTTATGGATTTGATAAAAAAATATATTGATTTATAAAAAAATTAATAAATGCTTCTAAAAAAAATTTCATTGTATAAATTATAAAAATCGATGAAATATTTTCGAAAATATTTTTTTTTGAACATTATAATATAACAATATTATGTAAAATTAAATTAAAAATATGTACAAAGTTTTAAAAAATATTTATAAAAGTTATATAAAATTTTTTTTAATATTTATTTATATATTTTATAGTTTTGTATTAATTTAATAATATTTATAGAACACAGTTGTTTTTATTAATTTTATCTATTCTATTTCTAATATACAAACGCATTATATATTATCTAAAATAACGATTATATCTAAGTAACTTGCAACTATTATGAATGCAAATAGTAATGATTCGCATTCACTGCTTTTACATACCATCTAGAATAACCTCATTTCTAGATACTGGAATACTTGCTTCGAATGGATTGTTCTTTAGTAAATCTGTCACGTTTTTCTCGTTTCGTATACTTGACCTCCCAAATTTTTGAGTTTATCCTTTCGTTTGATAAAAATATATTTTAATAAAAATAAAATAATTGATTTGCAGGCAAAAATAATTGAAATAATTTTTTTTTATAATCTTTTTGAAATTGATTTTAATATTTTGTACAAAAAAATCTTATAATCAAAATAGAAGATATTTGAATTCAAAGATATTTTGGATGTATAGGATTTTATAAAAACAAAAAAATAACGTAAAAATCCAACACTGTCACTCAAGAAGGACATGAAATTATTTAACGTTTTTTGTCTGATTGTATACGAATATGAAAGTCAGATTAATAAAATATGAATATAGAATAGAGAAAGAAAGATGTATCATTATTCAAGCTCATATCAAAATGTACAAAAATTTTTGTTTAATTAAAGATTTCTATTATTCATCAGATTCATCAATTCCATCATCCATCCATCCTTATTTTAAAATAAGGAAACAAGTAAAGCTATTTAGAAAGATTTTAAAGAAGAAATTAATTGTATATAAATTAAAGAGAAATGAGATTAATAAATGATTGAAAAATTACCGAAGAAAGGAAAATTTATAGGTTATGTAATTGTCGAGTGTACCGATGCATCGAAAACTCTGTCTACTTTAATGGTAAGAAGATGTGTAGAGATGCCGTACGATCCGGGGAATGGTGCAGCCGGTCGTCGAGGTCGGGGTGGTTGGCGAGGATGGGTTTGTGTGTTGCGTGATGGTCGCCGTTTATCGATTCGCGCCGTCGTGAGGAATGAAGTCGCGGATATGTTCTATGCCGTATCGCACTCTCTCACCTCTATGTGTATCTCTGCGTTCCATATAAACACATCTATGCAAATAATATGCCACCAGCGAAAGTAGCAGCGCCATGCAATCTTGCTCTTATTCATTTTTCTTAATCGTTTTGATTCTGGCTGGATGTCTAATACGATATTATTTAAACATCATTTCTATAAATATTGTCTCATATTTTTTAAAAATTTGAAAATTTTTGAATTTTAATTTATTTCATCTTCTACTATTATTGAATTTTTATTTGAATTTTATTTTTTCAATTCTTTCTTCCTTTGCAATAATGGTTCATAGATAATTTTTTAATATAAATGAATTTTTTCTTTTAAAAGAATTAAATTACAAAAAGCAATTTGAAAGTGCTAAATAATTTTCTTTTTTTATTAAATACATATATATATATATGTGAAAGAATAATTAATAAATAATTGCAAACATTGTCTATTAATGAAAAAGATCGCGTGCGCAGGAAGTCAATTACCTTTAGATACAAACGCGATATTCTCAATGAACGATTGTAAAATACTGAATGAAACTTATCAGAATATATTTTTACTTAATGTATATTATACGTAATTTTTTATAGAATTGAATATCTAAAAGATTCAATTCAAAGAAAAAGGAATTCATTTCGATATATCGTTTTAATTCACGTTTTAAATTCATCTAAATTTTATGTATGTAATATATGTGTATGTTTTTGCCCAAATGTTTCAATTCAGAAAATAAAAAAAATAAAATCTACTTAAGTTTTATTATTAGAATAATTTCACTCTTATGATTAGATTTTGAAAAATAATTTATATTATTTTATTTCTGTAATAATTTATATTATATATTAATTATAATAATTTTAATTGTTGTTTAAAATATAAAATTGCACACGTAAAGAAAGATTTTTATATTTCATGGATTTGTTGATGATGGATATGTTGAAATGTATCGTAAATCAATTACTGGTCGAATGCACAGTTCGAATCACCTTTTTCCTCGAAGTCACATGCATTTCACGTTCTATTTGATAATAATCATGTATGCTGCAGTGAATCTGGGTCCGCACGTATACATACACGAGCATTATAGGAATGCATACTAAACCGAGCAGTACCGCATCTACATAACAAATGCGGAAACACATGATTGCACTGCACAATCAAAAAAGATCAGTGGATCATTTTAAGATATATATCTTTTACGTAAAATTAAAAACTTTTTAAAAACTTTTTCCCCGATATTTCAAGAAAAATCTTAATTATCCAAGTTAACGTTTTCATTTTTATTTTAATTCTATTTTAGAGGTTAAGAAAGAATAGGATAAGCTTTCATCGAATAGAATAGATAGATATTACTTTTCATTAATCCTTATGTATACTGATTGGAGAGAGAGAATAACGTTTTCATAATAAATAGTTTTTCGAGAACATCTTCCCACCAATCACAATCGTAGAACAATCTTATTGGTGCAGAGCTTATATGAATAATCGAGTTATATAAATCGCGGAAATTTTGAATTATTTATATTCTGACTAACATTTCCATTGACAATTCATTCTTATCAGATTCAAATAAAATTATATATATATAATATTCTGCTTTATTCACATTGTTATAATTTATTCATTAAGTGATTGGTTTAAATTTGCATATGCAAAAGCATCAATTCATTCTTATCAGATTCAAATAATATATATATATATATATATATATATATGATTTTAAAATTCTGTTTTATTCATATTGTTATAATTTATTCATTAAGTGATCGGTTTAAGTTTGCATATGCAAGAGCATGATAAGCAACTATTTTACATTAGTGCATAATGATTCAAAACAGTCGTTCGTGAATCAGCAATATATTGTGAAATCGGTCATACAATTGTATATCCACAGATAGTCTTAAATTTCGTGTTCTAATAATAAATCTTTAAATGTAACGCAATCAAATGCATTGTAACCTGAGTTCAAGGAGACGATAAATAAGAAAAACGACGATCGAAACAAGTTAGTCGACAGTCGGAGAATATAATTAAGCTTCATCTTTCAATTTTCTACGTACAAATACACGTAATAAATGTATTACACAAACAATTGAAGCTAGTTTATATTATTTCTGACAATGAAATAATTATCATTTGTAGAATAAAAATATAATAAATATATATATCAAAAATTAATATCGAGTTATATAATTTATATTTTTTTATATGATGTGTAATTTTTCATAAACTATATTAAATATCCATACATATTGAATAGTTTTACGATCAATTGTATAAAAAGATTTATAATATAAAATAGTAAAAATTGAATCATCGATACATATCTGAGAATTATATTTATATTCAAAGAAGCGTGCATCAACATAAGAAAATTGTAATCAATGAATATGGAACAAACGAATCAGTTGAAAACGCAAGCCTCTTGTTCGAATCGTTATAATTAACTCTCGTCTTTCGAATTTTCCGCGCTTCTGCGATTGTGTACACGAGTCGGGAAGAACGAGTAGGGGTAGGTGGATGGTCGGCTATGGTCGGTGGTGGGAGCTAAAGTAGGGGAAGAAGTAGCGAGGGTTTACGGTGGAGCAGATAGGTGTCGCGTAGTGATGGAGGGGGTAACGGGTGCGTGCGAGCGCACGAGCCCGCCAGTTCTTCGGTGAGGCTCGAAGAGGTCAGGTTAACTCTTGTCACTATTCCGCTCGGCAAAACGCGAATCTCTCTCAACTCATGTATACACAAATGCACGCACGGTTCTTGTATTTCGACTTGTCATATTGATAACAGTGTTTGTTTGTATTTTTAATAGCTATGGAATGCGGTCGAGACGCGTAAACACTATTTTCGTTACGTCGCGTGTTCGGTGCTGATCTCGTCGAGTGCAAGGGCGAGTCGTTCTCTCGCAATCTCGTCTTTGTTATTCTGCCTGGGTTGTTTCTTTCGGGCCGAGTAGTGCAAATAGGTGATTTTATGAATGCGAGATCAGAAGTTTACTGTCATCGAAAGGATCATTATTAGAATTTTGGAGAGTTAAGCAGCCACTGTATGTTCGTCCGCGGCCTAGTGACCTGACCTTGGGTCGACCCGACCAGGTGTGTATGTTAAATGCTCATACGTATAGTTGCATTGTATTCGCGAAGAAAACGGCGACGATCGTGTTCAGAGTCAGCTGTACGTTGTTGAATTCTTCCCTCGTTGGTGTGAGTGTAACGAATAGACGAAAAGAGAGATGAAAAAGAGACATGATTCGGGATAAAGTTCGCACTGTTACCGCAACACCTATACACATTGCCAACTCGACCGCTTAACGTGGATACGTCGTCGTACACCTCCGGCTGCTTTGTTTGGATAAGAGGATTCCGAGTTGAGTGTTTGCCGGTTTGCATCGTTTCCCTCGATGTTTTTCTTGTGTACATGTCCTCGCAATGGGTTGTCCTTCGATATGACAGTCATAGCTTTAGAAATATGTATTGTGATATATAGATAAACGCGTCTAAACGATATCCTTTAACAATCTTTGATAGATAATGCTATATGAGATTGCGAAAAAAAAACACGTTTATTGCTTATTATTTGTTACTTTCTTTCATACTTATTTGTACCGTTTCTTCTTCTTAAGGGTA